AGACGACCTGAAAACCGATTTGGCCAACTTTTTCGTAGCGCAGCCGCCAGAGTTCTATTGGAATGGCATCCATAGTTTGCATAAACGTTGGCGTGAAGTGATAGAGGCCAATGGTGATTACATTCATGATTGAGATGATTTTGCTTTTAAATAAACTGGGTTGTAATAATTGTTCATGAAATTCCTAGAACTTTCTTTCCAATCAGATATTAAACCTTTCCGCATTCAATAATTTTATTTGCATGACTTCCCACATAAAAGTGTGCAGAACCCACTTCCATCCATCACCAATCTCAAAAATGCTTGATGTTCTTTGGCAGTGACAGCAGCACTATTGTAGAAGTATTTTCAAAATTTTTTTTTTCCATTGGGCACTCCCACTTGACAATTTCTCTGCTAGGTGTGAATAAGATCACATTAAAGATCTTACTGGTTTCCCAACAAATGTGAATGGACTTGTGCTTAAAAAGTCAATTACTTTTCAGTTTCTTAGTCCTGTGATATTGTGGAAGAAACATAAACATGGGCAGATGTAAAAAGAGACATATGTGCTTTACACAGAGTCTCACTGGAGGAACTCAGTTAGTTTCCTGAATCAATCTATCTGTGCAATAGATCATTATCTGGACTGGGTATGCTATCATGGGCTGTTTGTGTCAGTTTTCAAGAGGTATGAAAAACCTGAAAATCTAAATAAATTAGAAACTGATCACACTTGCGTCCAATTTCAACATTTACTATTTTTTGCTTCACATGAAGACTTTAAAATACACTTGAGACTGGAGTGTTCTCTTGAATTGAGACTTTATTGGTGACTTCTGTGCTACCATAAAAATACAAGGTTGGTATGGTAGGTGTCAGATGATATAACTATAACCTCATGTCACCATGTGATACTTGGTTTTAGTTAATGAGCCATAGCCAACCTTGGTCAATAAGAAAGAGATAGGAGAGCCTAAAACTTTTTTAATGCAATTATTTAAACTATTTAAATGCAATCCACACCCTTTACCATAAATATGAAGCAAATTATCAATAGTATCGAACAAAAATTTGGGATGCAGGTGACAAAGCTTCCAACCTTCATTATGACATATCCTCATCAACAAGAGGTCATCTGCATAATGCATGGACGTTTGCACTGAGTGAATGCACAGGATGGACAGCAACAAAAAGTGCCACCTGAGTATTCGGGCAAGCAAAAAAGCCTAACAGAGAAATAGTCAAAATTTTCACAGTACTACAGTTCCACAAAGGTTTATCACTGACTACTGAAATGCATGTCACATGCAACAGACATCTTATTTTCCAGACCAGAGCCAGCAATAAGGGTTGATTTGATCCAAGACTGATTTAAAAAAAAAAGGAGTGTCCCCTCTTAGAACCACCATTTCAGTTCATTCAGTTTTAAAAAAAAAAGCACTTGCTGTCAATCAAAAGAATTGACGAATGAGGTCGGAAAAGGCATCAAGCAGAAAAGAAAGGGGGATGATAACATGTTAAGCCTATATGGCTGCCTCCATGAATATTCCATTAGCATCTGCATTGCTGAATGATTTTGGTGGAATAATTTCATCCTTTCGAACAGGAAACTGCATATGAGGACAAAACCAGACAGGGAGGAAAGGGCAAGAAAGAGGTACAGTCATTCAAGCCTCTGGAAGGAGGCAAAAAATTGGTGACATCCATGAAATAGTTGTATATTCAGATGAATTAATGAATATTGGATCACTGATTGGTAAAGGCAATTGGTGAATGAAACTCATTCTGAATATTTGCATTTTTGTTGCCATTCTTTGAGGAAGTGTTTATTTTAAATATGTAGATGTATTCATTGGTAAATAATTATTTTCAACTGGAAAGAAGTGGCAACAGACTGGCTGAAAAAGTTCCAGCAGTTCCAAAAAGGGCACATGTGCATAAAATCTCTGCCTGCATCCCAGCAATGTGAGGCAAATAAATTTGTTAAAATGCCAAGTTCAACTGAAAAAAGGCCTCAGATACCATTTGATTGAAAATTGGGTTTTGACCAACTGCAGATTAGCTCTGAGGAGTTTTTGCCATTTACTTTGAATTGCACCTGTTACACATAAGCCCTTTCTCCAGAGAATTCAATTTATATGGTATGGCCATATCCACACAGCACAGTGACATCATAGGAATGTCCCCCACTGGATGACTTGTCCCATGATCTTCATGGAACATCCTAAGGAAATCTTCAGTCCAATTCTTATACAGTGTTTCTCAGTGAGTTTCACAAGTCTTGCAGAATGCTTAAGCATCAGTGGCAAAACACTTTGCACCTCTCTCAAAATGAATTGCATGTATAATCTTTTGTACTCCCTGCTCTCCTCCACTCCTCTGGTGTCACTTAGAATGGTAATCACCTGGTAACCAACAGAAACCTCATCCAGGGCCTTTGAAACAATGGATGCATTTTGTTGATACTTTCCATCATCACTTGCAATGCAATCATTAAAAATTCCCAAGTGTGGAACTGCTTTTTCAGTTTCTTATTTGTCTTTTCATGTAGTACAGTACTTTAGTGTAGTCTGTGAATCTAGGTGCTTGACATTCATCCATTCTAAAGACTATCAACAGGCCATGCATTCCTCTCCCAAAGGGTTGTCCAATGGAAGTGTCATTCAGAGCAGTACTTGCTTGCTGGGCTGGAGGAGGGAGTATGAAGCAATATGGCTCGTATGTAGCAATATGCAGCAGGTACGAAAATCAATGGGAAATGCTATAGATATCTTTAAGACATCTTAGGAATGTCTTAAAGATGACCACTTGACCACTTGGCATGGAGACCCATATATGTCCCATGTATCATGGATGCCTATTTCTCATAAAATCATACATGATTTTCCCATTTTGGCAGGCAGCATACAGCCTTGTAGATTATGAGAAAAACTCGAAAAATGGCAGGGTTCGAGGGGTAGGTCATTAAAGTCGCCAGCTAGGAGGAACTTGTCAGCTGGATGTTCAGTGCGGAAATGGTCAATCTTAGTCGTTATGTGGTCAATCAAGAGATCTTGGAGGAGGTTCCTGGGTGGAGAGTAAACTCCGCAAACAATTATTGCTGTGATTTTGCGAGGAAGCCAATGTGGTCGCAGCCATACCCATACTATCTCGAGGGATTCGTCTGTATCATCCATGGGGAGAATACGGGAAGGTATCTCGTCCTTGACGAATATGCTCACTCCACCGCCTTTCCTTTGCTTTCTAGTGTAGTGATATGCATGGTAATCATCTAGGGGGCTAGAGGAGAGGGATAGGCCATGGTCTGGTCGTAGCCATGTCTCCATGAGGATTGCTATGGAGGGTTTGAGTTGACGCATTTCCAAGTTGAATTCGTCAAGCTTGTTAGAAATTGATCTTACGTTTGCCACGTAAAAGCTTGGGAGGCAGCGTGCGCGCTTTCGTTTGCCACCTCATTTGCCTCTTCGTTTTTGAAGGATTCGAAAGGACTTCAGGCGGAGGTGAAGATCACTATTGAGGTGGACTCAGGGGGCTTGGAGCGCCTTCGACTTAAGCTCTTTCAGACAGGACAAGGTGTATTGAATAATCCTCTTCGTTTTCGAAGGATTCGAAGGGACTTCAGGCGGAGGTGAAGATCACTATCGAGGTGGACTCGGGGGGCTTGGAGCGCCTTCGACTTAAGCTCTTTCAGACAGGACGAGGTGTATTGAATAAGGAGCATTTGAAGACTTTTTCAAGGTCACGTGTCCGTCTAGACAGGGTGGCCAGGGTGGGTGACATTTGACCAAATTTCACCCTTCCCAGGCCCCTTTTTCATCGAAACGGCAAGATATTTGAAATGCGCGAGCGTTCCGTTGAGCAGGGGAAACGATTCGTCGCGGCTTGCTCCCTTACGGGAGCAAAACTCGGTGGGTTTCGTACTGATGGTATATCTTCTGTCCTGCGCCTATTCGAGGTAGCACGAGACCAAAAAGAAAGACAGGAGAAGCATTTAAAAGTTTTTTTTTTTTATCCGAAAACGTCAGACGGTTTATTAATCCAGGGAAATGCCGATGTCAGCCTACGATTAGCCGAATCATGCTTAATTAACATTAAATTATTTCAGGGACACCCTCTAGATTGATATGAAACGCTGTTCCCATTCTCCTTTTTTTTCATAATCAACCCCGACATTTTTTTTTCCATCAGTAAATTAGTTTTTCCAAACCCTTTTGATAGAAATTGGCACTGAGACGCGAGAACCACTCTTTTGCTAGCTTCATTTCCTCGTCACTTTGAAACCACTGGCCTGCAAGTTTCACATGTATGAAAGGAGCCCGAAACGATTACGACATTTTTACTCTCACAATGACGTAAAAGAAGGGAATCCCCATCCGGGCTGCGCTTGTAAAGCGTTGAGGTCGCCATGCTTGGACACCTCCTCTGCCTCGCTGCCTTCCTCTCAGCCATCCTCGCCCAAGGACTGGCGCTTCATCCAGGGATTCGCTTCATATTAGAATTCACTGCCTGCCTCAGCTCGCGTCTGCAAACATGATGATGCTTTTCACCGAAACCAAATGACGATGCTGACTTGGCGTTCAGCTGCGTTCCGTCTCGAATCTTCCATTCAAAAGCCAATTGAAAAGTGTGTGCGTCGGGAGATCCATAATGAAGGAATTGATGGAATTGACTCCGTTCGCTTTGAAGAACTCATAAAACTCATTTGCCTTCCTATGTTTTTCAACCCATAACTTTCACAACAGCGAAGAAATGTTGAGGTGTCATAAACGACGAAATCGAAGAAAGATCGGCAGATCCCTCACGTTCGCTAAGCCACCAACAGGTTTCTCTGTCGATGCCAGGATGATCCCTGGAAAGCTACGAGGACTTGGTCGCTGCTCTTAGGGCTGGTCATCGCGTCCATCCAAATTTCCACGGAGAATTGCGAAGGCTCAGATAATGGAGACATTTCTATCCAATACCAACAGTACTAGTACTGTTGGTAATGGCATAACCACTTGCCCAAGCATATGTCTAAACTATCGATACGCAGGAGGGGTAGGATGACAGGATTTCATATGCAAAGTACAGATTGTATTTCGTTTCAGGGAACGGTACATTCCCCTATGTCCTATGGCGTATACACATATTCATTCACTAATTTCCTTTTTCCTCTTCGGAGAAGCGGTCTTGGACTGCCCGTTCTGTGGGGGCGTCAGGATCTTCTAGGTAGTCTGAGACAAGAATAAAATCAGACTAATTCATTCCTACTTCGTCGCATGTTTCAATGGAATCAATCTTTTGTTTCTTTCCTGACGATCTCCACGGAAATGGGAGCCAAACGCACGAATACCCAACAATGCCTAACTCAACGGATGAGATGATTGGATTTCATCGGCGCAGCCGCGTCTTCCTCAGTCGGTCAGAGGCAAACTACAAGGAGTGCCCGAGTCTAGTTTTCTTTTGACAAACTAATTTATCTTGAATTTTGTTCTATTCTTTTTAATTTTGTTTCACTAAGTTAACCAATTTCTGGCAACCCTGTCTACGCTGCCACGAGCAGCCGCTCTCTCCCACAGTCTGGTATGGATCCGTCAACCGCGAGGGCTGGAAGGGAAGTGGAGGCTGTCGTGGATGACGGGCACCCCGACCCAAAGACCTTATACTGAGAAGACTGGGCACTCTGTGGCGGCACCTTCGATGTCGGGGAAACCTCCTGCCCTGGTGGTTGGCCCCGGAACTACGCAGAACTGACCAATGGGATCGTTGGATTGGAATGTCGAGTGAAATATGGCTGCTTCTGAATCCAAGTACTGCACTTACGCACCATGCCAGGAGAAATTTGGCCAAATGGATGGAGATGTTTCGTTGCATCGGTCTCCCAAGGATCCGGGACAGCCCGCGCTTGTGTTCACCTAGGGATTTGCACTAGGCCTATGGTCATGGCTTTACAATATGTGTAACAGGCGGATGAAGCAAATTGATGAGTAACCTCAATGACCCTGATGAAAAGGTGAACATTTTCGCGTCTCGGATTGACAGACCTGTTAGAATGCGATGACTTCAATTTTGAAGGGACAAAAACAGGCTGTGGATAATCTTGCTGCTTTGCTTTGGATTTACAGCCTTATGTTCTTGAAGGACCAATTGGGTTCCAGCTGGCTTCTACTCGCACACATTGTTGCAAAATGTTCTCGGCAATAGATGAGCTTGCCATTGCGATTGAGCGATCTCCAGTTAAATAATGCAGCTCGTAAATTGACAAAAAAGAAACTGATTCATCGATACATCGGTAACCGACGCAGCATGCACCACCTTACAATTCTGTCTGACTTCAAGAATCGTATCACCCCCCCCGGGGAAGATCCTCCTCACATTGTTTTCCCAACTCCTCTCCAAGGTCTTTCGCCAGCCACGTCCATCAGTCACGCGCAATAGAAATGGCATCAGACTTCGAGCGCGAATTCGTTCAAGAGCCACTAGCCCTCTGCTCCAGGAAACGCTGTCGTTAGTTCTCGGGCCAACCACCAGGGCATAGACTGCCATTGAGGCCACCCTGCTTTCGCGCTGTGTCCAGTCTTCTTATTAGACCGTCTTTGCCCCGACCAAGAGGGAAAGCTGCGCATGCGCAGTGAACCATGTTGTCCGGTTGCTATGGAAACAACGGACAGACTGAATTTTTTTTATGCGACGGACCGGTCGCAATATCTGTCAGTTTCTCATCGTATCGGAATGTGAGATGAAGTGATCCTTATCTCAGAAGAACTCACGAAACCGAGAAGAGTAATTGCGCTCTCAGGCGCAATCTTCCGAGCGAGAAAGGCGATTAATTCGCCATCTGTATTCTACTATGGAAACATTCCTTTTTCTCGTGATTGCCAGATGGCGGGTCAGCAGCTGAAACACGCTTTTTTTTTTACCGACTAGTCCCGACCTCGAGCTCCGATAGAACCAAGCCCAATAAATGTAAATTAATTTTCTTAATTTATTAATAAGTGATTGACGTCTGTCGAATGAGGGAAAAATTCTGGGAAAAAAATTTTTTCTCATGGGAAAAATGAATGCTGAGAACGCACTTACAGACAGACGAAAAAGGCCTGGATAAGCCGCAAGGATAAGCTTAGCCCATTACAGACCTGTCGCAGATTTATTTCCAGAGGGAAAAGTGGGGAGAGTGTGAAACAGTTCGTTCTACATCAGTGTCAGTAAAAAAAAAAAAAAAAAAAAAAAAAAAATGACTGTGGCATGAAAGAGAGGAAGAGAAGATGTGTCTTGACACATCATCCCTTCTTAAAGAGTTTAGGTGCCGCACGGAACGGTTTTATCGTTCCCCCGTCCCCTTCATTATCAGACTCTTGAACCAGTCAATCTGAACCCTATTGCGACTTATCCTATTGTTGAATCTCGTTGTCTTGTGACATGTTTGTATCTCACGACGAGACCTAATTTGCCCAGCACAACAGTCCCCGATTTTGGAATAAACCCATTATTATTATTATTATTATTATAACTTCTTATGAGAAATTCTTCTTTCACTTTGGTTATATGCTATTTACTAGAGCTTCAATATTAAAAACCAGTCTTAAGTAAACCCTGTACAGTACTTGGTAAATTATTCCAGGAACTTCATGTGCTTTTAGAGTCTTTTCATTTCATGAAAAATAAAGAATTTTTTTGGTCCACCTGTTATATCAGCCAAATCCATGCAACAAACTTACCCCCATTAGGACAGAGTTCACAAATGGGATTGAGGTTTCCTGCTTTGCAAGGCTCACAGAACCATGGCTCTGTTGAGCAGGAGGACACTGTGCTGCCACTGCTTGTTGTATCCGAAATCCCATAGCAACCTGAAACGATTAATCTAATTTGATATCTTTCCATGACAAAATACTTGATAGAAAAGCTGAAAGCAGCAAAACTAGTGCCATGGCTTGAAGGAAAGTAGGGTAAAACAGAAAAACACAGAAGGAAGGCTGATTATGAATTCAAGTGGATAGATATTGATAACCTGAAAATGTTGCTGATCTGGTCTGGTGCACTGAGTATGGTTTGGGTTATATGCATCAGACCAATGCATAACAGTTTGATGTGATCTTTTAATGGTATTACATTATGATTAAATCAACTGGTTGAAGACAGATGCTCTTCACAACCTTAAGTAATGAGCCAAATCAATGTCAATGGAACAGGCGCAGGGTGTCCCAAAAAAAAGTTAACACAGTTAGATATATCTTTGCTTGAATTACCTTGAAATTAGAAAAAAAAATTTCCCCCATTATCAGAATGTCATTGAAGAAGGTGTTGAAGGTGTGCTCAACAATCCCTACACACCTTTAGGCACTTTACAATATTCTGAATAGCTGACCAGCTTCTTACAGACCTACCTAATTTTTCTAACTTCTATGGAATTCCTCTAATAAAGGCATAACAACAAGTAACACAGCAAAGAATGACATGCTTTGGGAAGAAACATGAATCACTGGTGCATTCAACTGCATTGATGGATTCTTGACTAGGCAGTGAGAGAGAGAAAGCAAGCCACAAGAAATTTGCTGATTTCCATTTTGAATATTCTCTTCAAAATTGGTTGTTTATTGTGAAACATTCAGCACAAGAAAGCTCAGATTGTTCTTCCTTCTATAGAACTGCATACGTAATTTTCTTAATTTCAAAATAACCTAAAATCAATTCCTGTGACATTATATTCTTTTTAACACCCTGTGAATGTCAGTTTTTACTTGAAAAGTTAACATTTTGTACTTTACCCAGCCATTTTGATTTCCTCTAGCAGTAGCAGGGAAGAGCCCAAGACGGACATAAAGAACAGAGCTCAAAATGTTCAAGCATCAGCCCTAAATAACAATGTGAGAAATGATGCAAGTCACCTTCATGAACTGAAACCCCACATCCATCACACTCGATGATTTCATCTGAGAGAGAGGTGGCATCACCTAGGCATACACAGCAAATGAGCTTGGCTGGCATCTCTTTCATTTCTTGATCTCTTCCCTATAAGTGAAAAGTACAAATAGAAATCTCCTTACTCCAGCAGGTGAAATACAACATATTTCTCTCAATTTGCCACTTACCTTTGCTAGGGAGTTGGAAATGAGAGCCTCAGCCTTCTCAAGGATGTCACCAACAGTGAGACCAGGCTTTTCACATGCGTTTTCCATGACATTGTCATCATCTTGATCAGAAGCAGAGGAAGACTCTTCACTCTCTGTTGCGACGTCATCATCCTCCTCCTCTTCCTCCCCACCTTCAATCTTGAAGTCTGAATCATCATCACTATCCTCTTCCATGGCCAGGATCTCGAGGCCGATAAGGGACTCTGCTGTAGGCTTCACACGGCGCTTCTGTGGATCTCTCTCTGCTTCAGTGGTCATAGACATCAAATTGAAATTGGAGAAGTCCAAAGGGTGGAAAGGTATGAATCACAGTCTTTCAAGAAAGTCATTGTCCATGCAGGCTTCAGGTGCCATCTTTCCACTCACCCATGGTCTTGACGATGAAGTTCATGTCATCTATGTCAGACATTTCTCAAACAAATAATGACTTCAATATATGAGGTGATACCACACTTGGCAATGATGCTTGAGGATGAACACCAATGAAACTAGATCATTCCACAACCTACAAGTTTTTGTGACAATAGGATTGGTGTCACACTTTTCTACCAAGGACTAAATGCAAATACCAGTATAGTATATCAATTGTCAATGACCTTAGAAAGACTGGTCAAACAAATATATATGTGTAAGTCACTTCAATTTCAGATAGCCATTGATCATAATGACCCAGTTAGTTGTCTCTTACACCCATAACATACCATAATTTTACTGGAGCCATAGCATCCAAACTCAGCCACACATGACTGAAATCACATTGTCATAAGATACAGCTATAAAACAGGCATTACCTACACTCTCCATTAACAATTCATTTTTTTTTTCAATTGATATCACAACTTGACCCTTATCATTTACAAAGAAAGATGCAAAGCAGAATTCATTTGATGCAATTCATATCTGCTGTGTGTATAAGTTCAGGGATAAATCCTCCTGTGGCTGAGAGATAGCCAGAGAAAAATAATTTTTTAAATAATAGCATTTGTTGAACTGCAAAATTGCATTAAGACTGCAAGGTGACCTGCTTATTTGGCATGGATGTGGAGTGGGCTAATTTTAACAGAAATACAATATGGGATAATTGAAGGGAAAGAATCTCTCATGCTACATCTCCAATGCTTCCTGACATTATGCTGTACAATACATGACTGTCATCAACTCCTATTAAAATGTCCTTAACATGAACTTTGCTTGCTTGATTAATTTGGTTAATTGGGAAATTGCTTTCCATACCTCCAAGGTCAAGTCATTAGAGTATGAAGCATTACCTTACTTCATACAGTAAAAACCTGAAAACAGCAACCCAGTAGTAACTCTCCAATGCTTGGCAATACAAATACTCACCATTTCAGAGAAAGGTTACTCCTGGAATGCAAAAACATGAGGGTTGCTACTCAAGCTTGAGGGGCTGTTCCCACAGGAAATTGCAAACCAGATGGGAATGACTAAGTTCTTATGAAATGAAATGCTTGAAAATCATGTCAATCTCAGTCACTTACATGGATTTCCTTTTCTATGAAATGAGAAAGCTCCATGTAATATACAGCAAACCTCTATGGAGAAAAAACACAGAACCTTCTGGCAAGGTGACGTTTCATCACTTATTCCCTTTGTGACATCAAGTAAGTTTTGAGAGCATATTTTTATATTCCTACAGAAAAAACCTATAATTCAAACCCTACACATTTCTTCAAGACACTCCCTCAGCCTCAATACAATGCTGCACTGTTATCAGCAACTTATTGGACATTCCAATTACTCGGACTGAGGTAACTTCACAACCACAAATTTGATATCACAGGCCAACTCCTAAATTAGAAAAAACTCCTTTTCATCAGGTATTAAATTGAGAATTAAAAAATGTTTATACAGCAAACATACCGTGAAGTTAATGGCCTCAAAAACGGGCTCACTGGAACTTAAATATTTACTTTCAGGACTTGGCAATGTCAACTTGGAACTAAAAAATTATGCCTCAGTCTAACTAATGTGGATGCTCTTAAAGGCTGATTATGATCCAACTCAACATGCACATTGGAAAAAAGCACTGTGAATTCATGCAAAGGTATTAACTTTGTTGTTTTTGCATGTTTAAAAATGAAAGATTATTGTAAAATCATGCAAAATGCCCAATGTATGCTTCTCTTCTGACCATGACAATCCCATACTTTTCAGACTCTACCTGACGTACAGTTACATGACTAATTTTTTTTTGTCATATTAAGGGGAATATACAGGGGTCCCAAAAAACCCTGCCCCAAGTTTTATACACTATTATGTAATTTCTTTTCTGATGAAATGAGTTTTGTTATCATTCTAAAGCCTAGACCTTTCTTAACTGCTGATAAACCTGATGGTTTGTGATAACTAGCTGTGGGTGGTTTTTTATTTTTTTAAAACAGTGCCATTTCCACCAATCAGAATGCCATAAGCTTAGATATGTGTCAGAAAGCAGTGGATGACTTTCCCCAGCGATGCTGTATGTACCATGATCAGAATGTGAACCAATTTTAGTGGCAAAAAGATTGAATCCCTGCATCCCAAAAACCCCAGCCCAGTTTGGATGGAGACTAAGACTAAGTGAATGGCACTGATGAGGTCAGGAATGTTAGGAGTTTTGTAACATACACCTCTTTCAAAAAACCCCACAACCAGTTATCACAAACCATCAGGTTTAACAGCAGTCATTAAGAAAGGTCTAGGCTTTCAAATGATACAATACTCATTTCCATCAGAAAAAAGATTACATAATGTACAAAACTTGGGGTGGGGTTTTGGGGACACTCAGGGGATTAAAGCCAATAAATAAAAACTCCAGCCTCTTTGGTGGGTTCTAGTTTTCATAACAAGCATCACCAATGCGACAATTTGAGGCAAAAGAGGTGTTCACACATCACCTCAAGAATGGTTGGTGAGAAGAAATGAGCTTCCAACCACTCCTGCCATTCAGAAGGATCACCTGCTCAGCAGGGCAGAGAATGACTCCTTGGTTCCATAATTTTTTTTATTATGTGTGTTTATTCATAGGGGTTGTTGACACTGGATCTTCAAGCAATGCTGCTGGCATTTGAAGCAATTCGAGGCCAAAGATCTGCACACTCTTTTGCCACAGGACCTGTGATTGCAGAACCTACACAGAAAAAATATTTTTTTCAATTAGAAGATATCTTTCAACAGTGGAATGAAACTGACTATGGAAACAGAGAAGCATAACTTTCTATAAATTAAACTCCTCATATTCCACTGCTCAGTAGTGTAAAAAATGACAAAAGTGCCACTGTGGAGACTATAAGGTCAAGGAGGGAGCACACAATATCTGTCGCCAATGTCTACAACAAAATAGGACAATGAATGCATCACGAATGTAGAAAAATTCTATGAAGGAGGGCTGATCTAGAAGTACTGTATTTACTCATGTATAAGGAGCTTTTATTTTGCATATTCTATTGTGTTCAATGAGGGGAATTGATTGGGGTTCAATCTTACACTCAAGCAAAGAAATTCTCTTTTTCATGAAACTTTTTTTCAGCATACCTATAACTCACTGGTTACTTATTGAGGCAGAAACAGTGTCTTCAGTCAGAACAGGGGAAACATAATATTATTATTATAATTAGGGCTCTCACGATTGATCGATGCATCGATACCACTATCGATAGTTGGAGATATCGATAGTTTTTTCGACCATCGCGATGCATCGGCAAAGTATTTTAAAGGGGAAATGTCCCATTGGATTGAGGTGAGTACAGTACAATACAGTCCGTCCGGGCAGGGAAATGAAGAAGCGGCGTGATCCACATGGGCTTGCGATTTATTATCACAATAAAATTCCGGAAATGCCGGGACTGACTATAAGAAAGACGGGAAGGGAAAAAAAGTCGGATCGGAGACAAGAAGTGGGAAAGGAGAGGGGGGAAGACCGGTATTATTTTTTTCTCTTCTGTTTCTGTCTTCGGCTCGATCTCATCAGGTGCATGCTGCGGAAGTGGACTGTACTTATACTCAGTGTTGGGCGCGTTACTTTTGAAAAGTAACTAGTTACAATTACAAGTATGTCATCAAAAAAGTAATTAGTTACCAGTAGAATTACTTCTCACCAAAAGTAACTAGTTACAAGTAGAANCGTTACTTTTGAAAAGTAACTAGTTACAATTACAAGTATGTCATCCAAAAAGTAATTAGTTACCAGTAGAATTACTTCTCACCAAAAGTAACTAATTACAAGTAGACGTTACTTTTTAAGTTACTTTTCCTGAACAAAAATTCCTATCTTTCTACAGCTTTTCCACTTCTTCGACAGAAGCTAGATGCATGGACTGAAAGTGAAAATTACCCCTGATTTCGCGAAAATTGAATTATAATCATCACTTAACGGGATAAATACTCATGCTCACTCTTTTCCTGTGCCTCTTCCCTTTCTATGGGCTACTTAACAGGAATTATACGCCGATTTTCTCACCAAAAGTAACTAGTTACAAGTAGAAGTTACTTTTTAAGTTACTTTTCCTGAATAAAAATTCCGATCTTTCTACAGCTTCTCCACTTCTTCGACAGAGGCTGGATGCATGGACTGAAAGCGAAAATTACCCGTGATTTCGCGAAAATTGAATTATAATCATCACTTAACGGGATAAATACTTATGCTCACTCTTTTCCTGTGCCTCTTCCCTTTCTATGGGCTACTTGACAGGAATTATATGCCGATAGACAGAATGCACCCTTTAGTTTTAAAAAAGCCAATTTAGCCATTGGTGATGGGGAGACCTACCCCAGCCTGCCCCTTATCATGATTTCCAGATAATAATTAATTAAAAAAACGGAATAAACCAAAGTCGTGTTCTCTTGTTTTCCCTTAACCAGACATGGACTGCATGAATCCAACTCATACAGTGATGGAAAAATAATTTTCACTAACTTTTTTACAATGTAATGGTATTTTTCATGGCGCAATCAAGGAGATGAGGGTGTTTCAACCATGAAATATGGGGAATTGGGG